GTTGTGATGCGGTTGTGATGTGAAGGTGATGCTGTTGTGATGTGAAGGTGATGCTGTTGTGATGCGGTTGTGATGCGGTTGTGATGTGAAGGTGATGCATTTGTGATGCATTTGTGATGCGGTTGTGATGTGGTTGTGATGTGAAGGTGATGCGGTTGTGATGTGAAGGTGATGCTGTTGTGATGCAGTTGTAATGCGGTTGTGATGCAGTTGTAATGCAGTTGTGATGCGGTTGTGATGTGAAGGTGATGCGGCTGTGATGTGAAGGTGATGCTGTTGTGATGTGAAGGTGATGCTGTTGTGATGCAGTTGTAATGCGGTTGTGATGCAGTTGTGATGCGGTTGTGATGTGAAGGTGATGCTGTTGAAATGCGGTTGTTATGTGGTTGCGATGTGAATGTGATGCGGTTGCGATGTGAATGTGATGCGGTTGCGATGCGAATGTGATGCTGTTGTGATGTGGTTGCAATGCGGTTGAAACGTGATTGTGATGCGGTTACGATGTGAATGTGACGCGGTTGTGATGCGAATGTGATGCTGTTGTGATGTGGTTGCAATGCGGTTGAAACGTGATTGTGATGCGGTTACGATGTGAATGTGATGCGGTTGTGATGCGGTTGCGATGTGAATGTGATGCTGTTGTGATGTGGTTGTGATGCGGTTGTGACGCAGTTGTGATGCGGTTGCGATGTGAATGTGATGCGGTTGCGATGCGAATGTGATGCTGTTGTGAGGTGGTTGCAATGCGGTTGTGACGTGATTGTGATGCGGTTACGATGTGAATGTGATGCCGTTGTGATGCGGTTGCGATGTGAATGTGATGCTGTTGTGATGTGGTTGTGATGCGGTTGCGATGTGAAGGTGTTGTGATGCTGTTGTGATGCGGGTGAATCACGACAGGATCGCAATCATTTGAGGCGAAGTTAGTTTTGAACTGAACAAATTCATGTGATTTAACATGGCACGTGTATGTGTTATAAACACTACTGCAGATAGCAAGGAATTTGGAAAGAGAATTGCCTTTCAGACAAACTCGGCCACACGACAGGCGGGCAGTTGTTTCAATATCCAAACGAAGCATTATGCCATGCAGACACCCTGATAATTTTACCCCATTCTTTATACAAGATATACATGCTTGCCTTAAAAGGCGACTAGGGTTGTCGTAAGAGGCGACTAACGGGATCGGGTGGTCGCTGATTTGGTTGATGCATGTCATCGTATCCTAATTGCGTGGATAGATGCTGATGATGTCAATAACTGGATTGTCTGGTCCAGACTCGATTATTTACAGACCGCCGTCATATAGCTGGAATATTGCTGAGTGCTGACTCAATTATTCATGTCCATAAGTGTTAGGTAGTTCAAGATAATGTAGCTGGTCGGCTATACCTATTTCGTGATACGGTATTGACTCTCTTAATTAGCTGTGATTCGATATTTCGAGTTAAGAATTAGCTGTGATACGTTATTTCACAAGAGTCCTGTTATTGTGAGTTTGCAAATAAATTACATGTTTTCCGTGAAATGGCGTTATTCTCATGAATCGTTACCCGGTCTTTGTTATACCGAAACCGGTAATATCATGTAGACAGTTTGGGGATCTGTTTCCTAAAATCAAGCAACGCCCGAGAAGGTGTGTCCGACAAATCTGACATGTTTCTATGTTACAAAAACACGAGATGCAGTCCTAGTTTATACAATCCGAACACAGAAACTTGACAATAATATGGTTTAAATCACTATCAGATTGATAATTTAGGATGAATCTCTATGAAATATATACTAATTTACACGATAACTATCCGTGATTGTGAAATGGGTGGAAACATTACCTGTGAGATGTGAAGGGGTGATCTCATGATCTACCTGTGAACAGTTATTGGGCATAGGTATTCCCCAACCTCACTTTTAACTAGCACTGAGATGAGGACCTGTCATTCCGCTTTGGAGTTTGTCAGTAAGTGGATGCGTGGGTTTTTCTGTTTTGAGACCGCCTCCGTGGTCTAGTGGTAGAGCGTCCGCCCGGAGACGGGAAGGTCCGGGATTCGATTCCCGACCGCGCCATACCAAAAGACGTTAAAAGATGGTACTTGTTGTTACCCTGTCTGGCGCTCGGCATTAATGGGTTAAAACAAGGACTGATCGGCTCGGAGTATACTGTGTCTGAGTTGGGTATTCATGTTAAACTGCGGCATGGTATCTCAGTGGGCTAACACTATAAATCGGCACCTGTCCGGACTAGTACAAGCAGTGACACACACACACACACACACACACACGTGCGACCCGTGAAGATACGGGATAGAATAGGTCTTCAGCAACCCATGCTTGGCGTAAAAGGCGACCATGCTTGTCGTAAGAGGCTTTCAACGGGATCGGGTGTTCAGGCTCGCTGACTTGGTTGATGCATATCATCGTATCCCAATTGCGTGGATCAGTGCTCATGATGTCAATCACTGGATTGTCTGGTCCAGACTCGATTATTTACAGACCGCCGTCATATAGCTGGAATATTGCTGAGTGCGGCGTTAAACAACAAACCAACCAGCTATATACCTGCAATAATCTTGGACGCGACGTTAAACCCCATTTCACCTCACCTCAACTTTCTGTACTTCGCCATACACGTACCTCACTTCAAATAGATATGAGAACTTTACGTGCGTATCAGAGGTGTGGAAGTGAAGGCTCCCAAAGGACCTAACCGTTTATGAGGTCTCAATTTAGTTTTGAATCAGGAAGGTTTTCAACTTTTAATGAAAGTACTGTCGTAACTGCTTTCGGGTGTCAAGTGCGACCCTACTACAGTTACAGAAAGTATTGTCTTTCCTGGTCATCATGGCCAGTTAAGCCATGACTGTGCAACTCGCCCTGTAAGCATCGGCTCAGCTCAGTCAAGAAGTGTTTGGTCTAAAAAGGCTTACTCCAAGTTGTCTCCATCAGCATTCATACTCGCATAATAAAGAAACGCAATACCAGCTTTATACTCACATACATGTAGTTGTACTTACTCTCAGCCCATCTATCAATACACGACGGGATCAGACCGACCAGGCTCGTCACTAAATGGGGAGAACTTAGATCGATCGGGATTCGACTCGATCGATTGCAAACCACACTCTCCTCTCCTAATGTTGAAGGTATCATTTTATAGTGTTCGGGCCTGGCCTATCTTTGTCACATGTCACAATACCTCATTTTCATTCGTTAAAAGTTAGATCGGACCATGAACTCATGTGTGTCGTAATACCGAAGCCTACGTGCCAGATTGATCATCTCACTATTGATTTTGTGACTCACTCCGGATGCTACAAATGAAAAGTATCTTACCGCTCTGCTTGTTTCATTAACTAATCGACGATAACATGGAACCAATCCAATGATAAATATGAAATGTCCAGAATACTCTTGTGATAAATATGAAATGCCTTTTATCTATTAATTCCTTTCGATCTTAAAGTTCTCTGTCACAAACTTTGTATATCTAATGCAACTCATCATTGCAGCTATAACGGTTTAATTTGTTACCATCTTCTAATGTTTTTGAGACGCATTTTACCCTTATAACAGTACTACTAAAGTATAAGAATACTGACGAGTAACGTTAGCCATCCTTTCTAGATATTTTTTTCGGTCTAGGTTTGAATCAGTGTCATGACCAGTATCAGTATCCACTGATCTATAGACCGCCTCCGTGGTCTAGTGGTAGAGCGTCCACCCGGAGAGCGAAAGGTCCGGGGTTCGATCCCCGGCTGCGTCATACCAAAAGACGTTAAAAGATGGTACTTGTTGTTACCCTGTCTGGCGCTCGGCATTAAGGGGCTAAAACAAGGACTGGTCGGCTCGGAGTCAGTATACTGTGTCTGAGTAGGGTATTCATGTTAAACTGCGGCATGGTATCTCAGTGAGCTAGCACTATAAATCGGCATCAGTCCGGACTAGTACAAGCAGCCACACAAACACTCATACGTACATGCACGTCGCTATATAAGTGCAATTGGACGCGACGTTAAACCCAATTTCACCTCACCTCACTCCATTGATCTATCAGCACTATATACGCAAAATCTGCTCTTGAATCATCGTTGATGATAAACCGCTACTACCTGTGCATTCTTGGTTTCCTTTACCAGTATGCTGACAGGCCAGAGTACAGTACTGCACAAACAGTAACTTACACATATGCACGTCGAAACGTTTAACCCTATTTACCATCACCTCACCTCTTCGAACGACGTTTAATCCAACTTACCCACAAGACCGTTATGCCAGAATAATACACATGCCAACTGACAGTAATCCCTTCCAACCTATTATGATGATGTTATGCATCTAATATGCATACGTACCATGTTACCATCCTCTCTCATGTTAAGGTAATTGTTTCGATGAACAAATTGTTATTTATAATATCAAACGTGCCTATTGCATGCAAAGAGCATTTCCTATATCTGGGCAGAACAAAAACAAGGCATTAATTGGAATCTGCATATTTTACACTGATTGACACAATGGGCAGATAATGCCAGATACCGTATTCGACGTGATAAGCGCCCACGGCAATATTTGCTAATATATTGGCTGGTGAACAATCCCAGTTGGCACCTCTTCCGATTGATCAATGTACACAAGACTTATTTATTTGTGTTTAATACACACTCGTGTGTTATATGCATCCATAATTACGGGCAATTCAATTCTGGAAAATATGTTTGTCGTGTATAATACGCACAGACTTTTCTTTTGTGCCATTCAAGCTGTCAGCATAAACCACGATATTTACAATCATTCAACTCTGTGTTTTTTTCACCAAAATTCTAATAAGAGCCCCCTATTTCTATTTTTAAGAGCGCCCTGGGCGCTTATTACGTCGAATACGGTATACATTTTGGATACACAAACTTACGCTCTTGTTATTACAAACAGGAAGAGTAGACAAATCATTGATATGGCATCAGCCTGTTTCGGTCCTGATGAGTCATACTCAGCCACTTCATTCACAGTGTAGATTCCGCTCCTCGCAGCCCGCGTTGAATAACAGGCAAACTCCCAATCAAAAGCTTCGAATCCCCTGCAAAGAAGACGTTCCCAACAGGAGCTCTTATAGCTTCAAAGATTACCGGCTTGAATGCCAAGGTGTCCATGTTGCAAAAGCTTCCCATGTACAACGGGTTACTCTTCCAGTTGGTGATGAATACATCTTCCGGATCGACAACGTTCGTGTAGACGCGCCGGAGTATCGCCATCACCTCACCAGTGATGTCTGCATCAGTCAGTTCGGACACTCTGTCTGCATCTTCCCCCTGTGTGACCATCTGGAGAATGTTAGTTCCAGGGGAAAATAGTCCGTCAACCTCTAGGTTCTGCCAGACTGGAAATAAACCTCGTCTGTCATCAGCGTACAGGATGTATTTAGTGTTGTCCCAGAACCTCGATGAGGTGTTAGGGAATTTGAAGTATACACTAACATAGTTCTCTAACCGGACCCGGAACAGATTGTCGTTCTTGCAGTCTGGGAGTGGTGGGTTGAAGGTCACAGAGCCGCTTTTCTGGACACCAATACTGAAAGTAACAATGACTACGTTGGTCGTGAAGACATTTCCCTCTGGGTTGTAACTGCCACTGTAGTGTCGCTGTAGTTGATGCTTGTGACGACTTCATTCAGGTGTAGCCGTTGGTCATTTGGTGTCACTGCCTCTTCAGCATATGTCTTAAGTATAAACTCAAAACCCCGATTTGTCCATGATGTAGTAGAGATCGTTGGCACTTTCTTCAGGAATACCGAAACTATAGCATGAAGTGACTCCCGGGGATCCCCCATACTCGAAGTCATAGTCAAATATCTCCACAACCTTTTCCACAGGAGACCATCTTCCAATGTCCAGGCTGGTTCGCGCAGACATGTCCTCCGTTTTCTTGTCTTCAATTCTCTTGTAGATCTCGGATACGGTCATTTGAGCAGCTTCTAATTTGGTCCATGCGTTTTCTCCTTCTGTACCTGTGAGGCCACGGAAGTTTCTGATTAGAACACTGTCATAATCTGTCTTTTTTCCTGACACTTTGTACTTCTGGACAACATCCCATAAACGGGTGCCTTCTTTTCCTATCACCCTGTTCGCCCCTTCCTCAACAGGCTTGCCGCCAAATTTTACAGATTTGACCCTCCCACCAATTCTATTCGAACCTTCCAGCATCCATTGATGCTTCTTTCACCCAGCGTCTTTGCTGCTGCCAGGCCTGATGCCCCTGTTCCAACTATCAGTACCTGACTATGCCCTGTTCCACCGACAAAAAAAGAGAACCAATGATTTCAATGTAGCTATCGTTGAGGTGTTTATAGCTTCCAATCTGCTTCTGTTTTCAAAAAAGAATTCACTACAATAACAGGGAACGCAAATTTCAACATCTACCGCCAAAAAAATCGGCTCTTATGCCCGCATGAAAGCATGGTGTCCTTTGAAGGGTGTGACCCTAACAGGCGGCAAAGATTTGGGTCGGCTAGCCAACACCAGGGATGGTATGTGTGCCAATGCCATTGCAGCATGTTTACAGACGAATCAAGATTTCACCTCAGTTTCAGTGATGGCAGAAAAAGCAAAAATGCCTGAACAAAAATTCTTGACCTAGATCGGTATGGGTATGGTTGTGTCATGGTATGGGGTGGTATCACACATAACAGGCGAACTGATGTATTCATGGTGAATTGACATTTGACTGGCCAGTGATATGTTTACGACATGTTGCATTCTGTCATTGTTCCATTCGCTCGAATCATCAGCAGAGATTTTGAACTGCAAGATGACAATGCCAGACCATGTCGTGCCCAGGTCGTCACTGATTATATCTGACGAGAAGGCATACCGACATCGGACGAGCCTGCTGAGTCCCTAGACATGTCCCCAACAGATCATCCGTGGGATGTTCTCGGGTGGAGCACGCCAGAGACCCAGCGTACGCCAAAGGGGCAAAGCTTGGGGTAGTTCTTCAGGCGGAAGGGCGGGCAATACCAAGGGCAACCTTACACAAGTTAATATACTGTATGCCATTACGTTGTCGTGCATGATTCACCTTACATGGTGGACACACCAGAAATTGAGTCCGAAATTTGGCTCTACTATCGAGTCCATTTATAGTCCAATAAATATTGCGTTACGGCTACAATCCAGATGCACTGGGTGAAAATTCTCTTCGGTTACCTTGATCGGATCATCTTGACTGGGCGCTGCCATTTTGTTTGAAGCAAATGCAAGCAGCATGAGAGGTGGAATCTGATTGGTTAGTAGGGAAACATAGAAGTGACATAACTCATAATAGCCATGCTACGATCCAGCCTCGAAATTCCAGGTCAGTTCGGCAAGATTGTAACTTGCCTCGGGGAGATGGCTGTCCATTATCACAGACACTTTGGCAGCTAGTTGGGTTCCTAAGCTTCTGACATCTGATCGAAAACGCACCAGGCAGAACATGTCTCATGATAATCTGTTTGAAGCTGGCCAGAAAGGTTCTTGCAACGACATGTGACTATGGTTGAAACCTGAGTTCACTAAGGTCCGCCTTAATGCCAAACAACACTCAAGTTGAGAAGTGGGAAGTTCAGAAATGGTGTGCTCTTCCGCCAGATACAATCCACGAGTCTGACTTTGAACTCCCTTAAGCACCAACCGAATTCTCCATCTTTTCCCAACATGAAGAACGCTCAAGCCGAAACCTATTCCTGATCGAAAAATGAAGTTATAATTAATTTTATTTGGAACCTGCAGATTCACTGGGAAATATTGTGACAGCTGTGGCCTAGAAACAGTGGCTCGTGTATGATTATAAGTGTGCGTGCTCTGAAATGAATCTCATCAAGTTCGATAAGTTGCTATGATCAAGTGTGCTTTGAATTCAGTGATGTCGGGACATTGTTTTCGCTTTTTGAACGGAGCTAGAGAATATTGGACTGTTTTCTGATAACTTTTAAATCCTCTCCTGCCAAATCCTTTCGGTGGTGGTTGACTGAGATGGCAATGAATAACAATCACGAAAAGGTTTTTAAACAACATTGTCATGAATAAAGTTTCTTCAAACATTTTTATAATGTTATTTTTTACTTTCATTGTCGGTTGTTTCAATGAGTAAATAGCCTGTTCCGATTCTGGTCGCCATAGAATGTCCCCTACAGTTTCATAAACAGTTCATTTGTATGGAAACTATATGCATTCGTTAAATATTTTAATGTCATCAATGTAGAAGTCAGGATCGCGGCATTGAACGCTTAAAACATCCAATATCAAAGTACCGTATTTCCTCTGTTAGACGCAAGGCCGTCTATTAGTTTCGCTAGAACCGTTGACACGGCGTGTGTTAGAGACCTGCTTTGTATATAAGACCCAGCGAGTAATATAGGAAATATAGATACGTTTAACAGTTCATGTGGGGGTCATCCAATAGGCAACATTTGTTTATGAATCGATATGTAGGCTATCGGTGTATTCATACACACGTTTTTGTGTGAAAAGGCTTAATATATTTGAAAGGGGTTTCCGAAGCGAAACCTGTTTTTAACCAATTATAATCAAGAATTCATCAATGTCATGGTAGAATACAAGTGGACTGATATAGAATATACAAGTCATTTGTCTCCATTATTTGATTTCATTCACACAGAAAAGGAACGCCAAGGAACTTCGAGTTTTAGTGACTGTTCTCGAAAATGTCCAAAAAGTGGAACCCAGGTGATTCCTCTATTGCTCTCATTCATCCTGATATTTGAATGGTTAAGTGTAACACACAGTGTTGAAACGTAATACATACTTACGTTAATTGTAACAGCTTATTCTTTCTCGTCTTGGTTCCGACTCCAAACAACTTCGAATTCCAGTGTTTATTCGACTTAAACATTTCTTTTTTCGACTTCCATTATGCTACAAAAAGAGTGAAACCAAAATGTTTCACTCACCTCTCTCCCACTGAGATCAGTATCAAATACAAAAATACAGTGTTTATAGGAAATGTCAGAGATAATAGTATATTCACTCAGCGGCGAGTTTCCGAGAAGAGCTGGACAGGGAATTAGGGGATGATGAGTGACCTCTACAGGAAAACTGGTCTTGAGGTGATGAAAAATGTGAGAGATACGCAAACACGATCTTGTCCCTGTATATATACAGCCAAACAAGCTACTGGAACTTTCTGTACAGTGCCTTCACCAGTCTAACGGTACTTGAACATTAAAGAAGTTTCCATAACCTGCTATCACCGTCCGCGGTATACCGGACCGGAAGTTCACACACCACACTAGCATCTAAATATAGTAATTTTCTGACGACTAATCACTGTCCAAAGATAATGAAATGAACGTCTGACGAATCTAAACAGAAACAATGCAACACAGCTACAATCACTGTTAAACAATAAAATACGCTGTCAGATAACAACTATACACGGTCAGCTGCAAAGAATATGATAACTAATGTTGTAAATCACAAATAACAATTACATTTCAACGCAGTATCAAATGTTACTGCATTGTCAATTCAACACCAGCACACTTCAAATAATTCAAAACGAGTTATTTGCTTCTAGGAAATCTAAGCATAATAAAGAACGTGACTAGTTACTTTTCTCTTTTAGTATATATACATATATAAATGACGAGGGGAGTTGGTTATCGTTCGATATAACACTGAAGGAAGAATAAACCACGGCATTGTCGGTCAAGCCCATTGTATGAACAAAGGGGTAAGTTTGGTATTTCCTTAATATTCTCACAACTCTCATGGCCATGATCTGAACCATTTTCCCCATCACAGATTACTATATCTCGCCCACTTTGGGATGCAATTGTTCGGCAAAAGTGTTTATCTGCGCTGCCCAGCTACATCTTAGGGCAAAAATTTACTACCCTCTCAGAAATGGCGTGGCCAATTTACGACGTCATTGAGTTTCGAGCGTATGTTCCGATCTCCAGAGATGACGTCTTTATCGTGAAATTAACCTCGCCTCATTCCGAGTCTTTGCTATTTATATATTATATATTATATATATTGCAACAGAATTTGCAAAGACAACCAGTGATCCAATCACAAGGTGTTGGCGTTTGAAGCATATGACGTAAACTGCTACATACTTCATACGGAACATAAGAATTAATTACGAACGGATTACGATACAGCCACGAAATTGCAATTCGGGGACCCTTCCACCAAAGTTTTTGACAAACCAAAACTTTCTCGCCGATTCGACGAACTCCCGCGAACTGTACGACTGTTTGGGAATCAGCCACTTTTTCACCTTTTCGCAAACACCTGGCATCATCATTACTGGACGCTTATAGTCAGTTAATGCCCTTGCCTCGGGAAGATGCTGGCTAGTCGAACACATCAAGCACTGTATTAGGATGGGGAACCAGAAATGGGCTTCACATAGTGTACCCATGTCGGGAATCGAACCATTACAGATGAACAGATTAAAATAAAAAATGCATCAGGGTTTTTGTGATCCTGGCATAGTCAGGCTGGTTCGGCTCATCATTAGGTCAGGGCCCTTGCCCCCTCTACACGCAGCCCAGACAGCGAATGGGATTTCTCCCAGGAAGCGCTACTTAGTCAAACCCACCCAGAACTTTTCGGAGAATGTGAAGACACCCCGACACTGCAGCCTTCAGCATTACCCAGATTTTCAGAAGGAATGTATTCCTGGCAGGTACACTCCTTACGTCAGTCAAGAGATTGGGATGTACCAAACCTAAGGCACAGAGAACTGAGGGGAATCGAACAACTTCGTATTAGGGGTCCGCATAATTACCATGTTTTTCCTGAATCTTGTGAATCACTTTAGTGTCAAAAGGGACAGAGACTTTGAAAGTATGGATGATTTCTTTGGATTTATTTAAAAGGACAAGATCAGGATTGTTGACTCGAATACGCCCGAGACTGTCTATTGGCCTATTCAAAAGAATTATACAATTATCATTTTCCATTTTCTTCATATTCTGGGTCGTACCATGGATGGACCTCTGTGTCAAAACCACAATCTTGGCGAAGACGATAATACAAAGGATCGAGCCACTCCATCATGTGGCTTAAGATACTGTGTTTGTGCCAAAGCTGTCTGTCAAAACCACAAGCCTGGCGAAGACGGTAATAGAATTATCGATCAATGCCCACATTTCGCTTAAGAAACTGTGTTAGTGCAAAAGCGGGGACATCCA